TAAAGACAGGGTCCAATCAGATAAGATGATATCATATTTTATTGAATAATAAACAAATTCTTGTAAAACATGATCCATAATTAACAAGTAAAGAATAATCTGTTTTTGTGAATAATAGCATATTTTGTAGCAAGAAGTTATTATAACATAAAAAGACATCATACAAAGACATGCAAAATTACCAACTAGTAAAATACCTTGTATTTATTTTATGCTACCCTAGAGTGCAACAGACAATGTGAAAACTATTCAGTCTGATTTTGCCTGGCTTATAATCAGGAGAATTCCTAAATGGAACTGTTAACTAGGTAGTATGTAGTTATAAAATATATAATTATCAGCTTTTTTCTACTTCTGGCATGAAAGAAAAGATGTTGATGATATTAGTCTAGGGGATCAGTCTGCTTATATATTATTACTTACTTTGTACTTAATAGTTGTAAAAGAGCTTCTATGTCCCACATTGATATCAGAACACTGTATGGCAGTACTATCAAACTTACCTTTGTATCCTTCTGACTTGAAGTGTTGTGCAATTAATCCCCAACAATAAATTATAAAAAACCCATAAAACATCAGAATTTGTTGGGAAATTATCAAGATATAAGAAGAGTAAAAAAAGCAGGAATCCCAACCCTGAAATAAGCATTCTTTGTCTCACTAGTTTTTTCCATTTTTTTTCCAAAACAAATTTCCTAAAAATTCAAATTTTACTATGGATGGAATTAGCTGACTTAATGCAGTGTTTTCCCATGTCAGACTGTTGCTATTACATTGGCTTTTCTTTGTTTCTGAGTATTAAATTATAGAGAATAATACTGATCCTGAATATAAAACAAATTATTGATTGATTGATTGATTGATCCACACAGACCTACGTAGTATTCAAATAAAGACTTAGCCTATTCAAAGAAGTTGTAAAGCTCAGGTTTGAAATGGGAAAACACTGAAGTCCAAATGAAAAAGGTGCAATGAGTGACTCTTGTTCAAGTATACTTCCATATTTTGTGTTAGCATTCCATCAGGGTTAGTACTATTGACCAATGATGGAATTCCAGGAGGTTTTCTTAATAGAGGTGAAAATTTCAAAGGAGTTTTCAGGGTTGCAAATGCTAATCTTCAAATTTCAAGAGTTTTCTATGAATTCCAGAAATAGTACAAACCCTGTATGGCACAACTATACTACAAGTAATGGATTTAATTATTACAAATTACTCACTAAACTCCAGTAAGTAAAATTACAGCTGTCCTCTTTGCATATGAAAGGCATGGAACTTTGTTTTGCTATAAAAGTTCTATACTGTGTATGATGGATTCCACTTTCAAATATTTAACTCTGAAATGATAAAGAAATGTAATGAAAAAATAATAATGAATAATAATAATAATAATGATAATAATGGGAGGTTCTAATATAGTGCCCTATACATTTATGACCAGTAATGGTCATAAGGACTTTAAGGGCTGCATATTAAGGTGCTATTAACAGCCATGCAGCTTACAATCATGAGTGATTTGTTATTACATTAGTGTTATGCCTCCAGACAGGGATAGGCTATTGAACCTGAGACAATCCCCTACTCTTACACAAATAATAATTCAACAGGTTCTTTTATGTCCCCCATCTTACTGCAGGTTAGGAAGGGTTAGGAGACAGGGTTGAAGTCCTTATCCCAAAAGACTTATTAAAACTCTAAATTTCGCACTTTTTGAGACTGATTTATTCACAATTGAACACACTACATTTTTTCCATGTGCTTTCTCACATGATTACAACACAGGTAACCCATCTATATAAAATCAATAACAAACCACAGGTAATCCACCTATGTGGATTTGCACTTCAACAAGACTTGAAGGTCTAACTTGTATATATTGTTACAAAGACAGCAACTTCTCCTCAGTTATTTTAAGACTGGGTGGCAGTTAAAAAAATGAGACCTTAATTTCATAAACTAATTATGATTTTGAGACCACAATACCACGAAATATTGACGGCTTTGTGACTCTGCCCAATACTGAATATATTTTCTTCCAACGTTGTCAATATTTTGTGATATTGTCGTCTCAAAACCATAATTAGTTTTGCATCATGATTCTAGAGAATTCAACACACACAAAAGGAACAAAACTGACCAATTTTCTTTGATTAAAAGCGAAATTCTCCTTACGAGTGTGTGCTATGGCGCAAGCAAGAAGTGTAAAAATTTGACATGCGCCCGCTCAAGCTTCCCTTTTTGTCGCGAGTTAGCCAATCAGAAACCTTAATTTTGAAACAATACCACAAAATATTGTCGTCTCAAAAATATAAGAAACTACTTAGTAAATTGTGATACAAAAAGCTATTAGTGATTCCAATTAATAACCATACCTTAAAAACTCATTAATCGCCTGCAAGTAAAATTACAGCTGTTCTCTGCATATAAAAGGTATATTTCTTGTTTTGCTGTTGTCCTAATATGATGGATGCCCACTTCCACATCTTTAAGTCTAAAATGTTAAAGAAATATAATAAAAAAACGAGAGAATAAGGAACGCTGTTAGTAATTCCATTTAAAACATACCTTTAGAGTAAACATACCTTGAAAAATATATCATGACCCTAAACCAATTGCAAAACAAAGGCTTGACACAGTTTTCAAAAAAAGGTTTTGGTTCACAATGTTACAGTTTATATATGGACTGCCATATCATTAATAAATCCACAAGCAATCTTTGGATTAACTTGTAAAAAAATAAACAACATAGGGAGCAATGACTACTGCTAGTGCACTTAAAAGTCGTAACAGCGAGATTAATTGTTATCATTCTCTTCGACAGTATGGCACAAATAACCTTACATCGCATATACATGCGAAAAATCGTTTTAATTTGAGCAGTAACACTTTAAAACTAAAATTTTCGATAGTGAGCACTTGTTAAATGTTTTTCCATCGCAATTTTTACGACACGAGGGTGTTGGCGAGAATGAGATCGAGCATGCAAAGAGGATATGAACGAAAGCAATGCCTTAAAACTCCACAAAACCTGATGAAAACTAAAATTATGAAGCTCAAAAACAAAGCAAAAGTATTAATATATTTTTTTCTATAGTCAGAGAGCGCTACTAACCTTTAAAACAGCTGAATTCTGTGATATTTTCGCCAAATTTCACCCAAACCTTCGAATCCGCCATTTTGTTCTTGATTAGTCACCCCGCATTGCATGACGTGGCACGTGGCTGATTTACAACCTGGAATGGCAAATGGACTGCAGATCTCAACAACCATTCCAAGGAATTGGAAGTGAGGAAACTTTTTTGTTTTAAATTTGTAAAATATATCTTGAAGACAAATTTATTGAGGGTTTTTTTACTCTCCAAGAAAGGAGGGTCACGAACGAAAGATGAGATCAATAAAAGTGGCCCAAATGTTTGAGAAGAGTTGATTTTTGTCGCAAAAGAAATTACAACCGAGGCGAATCCTGAAGAAAGAAAATTACAAAATTATCTACTCAAGTGCCCAGTTGTACGAAGCCTGGATAGTGCTATCTGGCAGATAAATCCTTATTCAGCGGATAAAGGGATGTTGTTATCCAATACATTTATCCAATAGGATAAGATTTATCCGTGGGATAGCGCCATCCACCCTTCGTACTAACCGGGCCCAGCGTGATAGGTGGTTCAAGCATTCACCCGCGACCACAGCGCGCTGAAAGGCAGCGCACCTTAGTCATACTTTCCATAACCAGTAGAGGACTTAGCATTTAGGCAACAATAGAAAACCTTTAGCATCAGTTTTACTGCTAACAGCTAACCGCTAGATATCAGGGTCAGAAACACGCCTTCAACTCAAGAGAAACGTACGCACAGCACAAATGAAATTCAATATGGCGGCTCTTCTAGCAACAACTTCTTTATGTCGCCCTGCTAAACGTCGAAAGTTGGACGGAAAACGCCCAACGTTGAAATGCAGTTTGAGGTTTGCCGGTACCTAGGCAGAACGTAGTGCTAAAGGTCTAAGTCTAATAGAGTCTTTGTCCCAGCCTGAGAAACTGAATTACTTGTCGCGTACGTAAATCAGACAAGACCATATGTACCTCCTGCAGTGACTAGGTGGTGCAAAGCTGGCCTCTATAAAAGGGTTGGCCATATGGTTAACTGCATCATGCTCCATTATAGCATTATTTTTTAAAGCTGATCTGCTTTCCTTGGCTGGTTGTGCGTTTAAAAACGAATTTTCTTGAATAAATTTTCTTCTCATTGATTAAATTGGGGGAGGATAAATTTCTCTTCGTACTACCTGCTCGCGTTGTCTTGCTGTGAGTAAGCTGGACTGAATTTGCCAATGTTTTGAGTTTCTTATGGATGACTTTTTGAACTTAGGATAATTTATGCACTTATTATTTTCACTACCCCTGTCCCCGGGACAGGGCGAAGGTTATTGAGAATTTAACAGCGTGAATGCATCGGTAGACGGGGAATTTAATGAGTACTTCATAAAGCGGGGTATCTATATCGGGGTATTCAAATTTGTTGCACTGTGCGCGCACGGTTTCGTCAGTTGTTCCCTATTGAACATAATGAGGCACTGACACAACGTGCGACGTAGTCCAGAACTGGACCCACTTTTCACAATTGTGTTTGTTTTACCCGCGCGCAATCTTAGTTTAGTACAAGATTCCGTATATTTATTGTGAAATTATCATTTCATTCCCATGTATCTTTTCGCGCCCGCCTGCGTAGATTTGAAGAAGAACGAATATAAACAGAAATAAAAGTAGGTCCAGTTCTGGAGTAGGTGCGACTTTGCGCGCAATATTGCAGGCAATGTTGCTGAAGTAGGATCGTTTTCTACTTCAGCAACATTTACGACATGGCTCGCAACATCCATTGCCTGCAACATTGCGCGCGATGTCGTACCGTGTGTCCATAGCTTAGGTAAGTACGCGTTTAAGTTTGGTTGCTACCGACTGTACAGGCATCCTCATTGCGGGGCATAATTTGAAAATACGATAAATTTACATGTATATTGGCCTAATTAATCTCAGCATTTTAAATTCAGTTCCTTTTATCACAAAAAAAAAAGAAAAAGAAAAAGAAAGAAAGAAAAGAAAAGAAAAGAAAAGAAAGAAGGAAAGGAAGGAAGGAAGGAAGGAAAGAAGAAAGAATGAAAGGAGAATCGGGTTTTTGATGGTCCATTTGCTGTATCCATCCATATATCCATTTCAAAGCAGGCAATACATGTTCAATAAACAGGAAAGATATGATTAAAAGTAGATTCATTTTTAATGGTTCAATTGTTGCATTCACTTTCTATTCTATTCACTATAATCTATCCTTTTTCAAAATGTTCAGTTACTAAGTCAGTGACAGAATATTTAAATAGTATTATAAAGATGAGATTACTTTAAGACTGAAAGGAAGATCCATTTAATATGACGAGGGGTGGGCATTTGACTGCTTCTAAAATCGGGGGTTCTGAAAAAATCATTTTTCAAAATTCAACACCTTTCTTGTCCCCCTAGTCATATTACTGTGCGGACACAATAACCGGGACCACTTGAATTAAACTGACCAATCAGATAACAGTAAACTAGACAAAGATTGAACTCATAACAGCGTTAGCGAATCAGATTATCACGTTCTCACGCTCTTATAATATCGATGCGCTATCTGATTGGCTGGTTAAAAAATATTGAACTAAATGTCGCAATATGATTGGTTAATGATACTAGTTTATCGAAGTAGTCCCGATTGGAGTATCCGCACAGGAAATGAACCTTTCATAACACGTACGCTACATGGAATTACCAAAACCTGAAACAATTTCTAAACTTCCTCCCCGCAAAAATTTTTTAAAGATTTACTTTGTGTGATATTTTTGAACGGTTCCATGTCACAGTCATACCCATATTGCGGTGATATCCATTAATTCTAAAGTGTCATGGGTTTTCGACTGAGTCATTGTAAATATCTTTGCGTTCAAATCAAACTTACATCTCTTGTTAAATTGCTCTAGTAGCTCGCCAGCACGCAAATAATTTTTGATAGAATTATTGGATTGCAACCAGATAACTAAAAATCCCTTTAGATATAAATAACAATAGAACAGCCGCCTTGTTGGTTGATCTAACAAGAGAAGCTAATGAGGAATGTTTTGTTATCGTCAACCAATCTTGTGCTGTGAAACACTGACAGATTTCGATACGCTGTTAGAAGAACCTGCGTTTAATTGAAGTAAATCGTTTTCGAACTGGGAGTAACTTGATATCCCGCTATATTAGCAGGTTCAAAATAAGAACTGATTTAACTTATTTATATCTAATTCAAACCGTTAACTAGGTGCTTGAGTAGCTGTAAGAAGGATTTGCGCTCTGTCTTGTGGTAAAGAATGCAGTAGGGTCTCGAAATCTTGAGGATATTGTTGACGAACACTCTTGGTCATGTTAACTAATCCTGCACGAACATCTGAGGAAGAATATGAAAAAATATTAGGTTATGAGAAAATCAAAAAATTCAAAAATAAAAGAGATGGTTTGTTCTTTTTCAACATGAATAGCAGTTTTGTTATATTTAATTTTTCGAGACCAATTGCGCTTTTTAAAGGTTCCTATTAAAAATACAATCTGACAAAAATCATTTATTGCAACAAACAGAATAATTAGCAATGAGTCCTCGAGAACAAGTGGAATATTAGTCAATAGCCTGTTCTTTCCGAGATAAATTATATACAACACAGTAGCTCAAGGCCTATTTAGAATCAATTTTATTCTCGGCTATCTACAATGCTACTGATGAGCAACTTTAACTGTTTCCAAAGGATAATTTTCTTGCAATTTTAAGGACAGAAACGCGGAAGAAAATCCAAGAATACTATCTTTTTTAAAGCACAGAAACTCGGAAGAAAATCCAAGAATATTATGTTTTTTAAAGCACAGAAACTCGGAAGAAAATCCGAGAATGCTATGTAGGCATTCGGACTCAATTTTACAGCATAGAAGCTCAGAAGAAAATCTATACAAATCTAAATCTTTGATCTGCAAAGGCCATCACTACAGATATACAAATGTACAAAAAGGACAGGAAGCAAAAACACAACACATTAATAAACTTGTATTCGTTGAAGACTTTTTGAGTGCGCATCCAAATTTAAGGAACTTGTATAAAATTTTTTCCAATGAGAATTCATAAAATTGATTATTCTCCTCTTTAAATCTAAAACTGGCTCTCTTTACTGAATTTGCGTTTTTCAGTTTTGAGGCCCGTCAAGTTGAATGCGCACGCAACCTTAAAAAAACGGTTTATTCTAAAATTGCAGTCATTACTGATTCCGCTTTCTGATTGGACATTGGACAAGTTTAAAATTCCCTGATAGCAGAGTCTCCCTTGTTGACGATTTTTGGCAGATTCTCTGATAAGAATTGCCAGTGAAGGAGACTCTGCTATTTTATAGATAGATAGATAGATAGATAGCTTATTAATTTCTTAAAATTATACAGCTTAAAAGATGAATTGGGTTAAACCTTTACAATACAATTGCATTAAAATATTAGATATTTACAGTGTGAAAAATAAAAAACAGGGAAAAATAAATTAAAATTGGAAGTATAATACTTCATAACTTAAAGACGCACTTCTCAAGCCAAGAAATATTTTACCGTTAAACTATTTAGATCATGTGAATCAGTACTGAAAATATTGTGCAAGGGTTTAGGTGTACACAAAAAAAGGACCATGATTAGAAGAGAAGAGGAACCAAATATGTGAATGTTATTTAGAATCAAACTTTATTGTTTTTGCACGTAAAATGATTAATCTCGACTTTTATCTTTTTTTTTAAAGTTCAAAACATGGATGTTAAATTCCTGGATTTTAAAAAGATTTATCAGAACTTTTATCAATTCTTTTTCCAATTTTAAGAATTGGATTTTAAATTATAACATTTTTGAAGTCTACGAAATTGCCCAAACCCGAAAGTACAAGTACGGATTAAGGCTGGTGTTTAAAAGATAAAGAGATACTGTTGCCTGGTATGCAAGACTGGGCGCCGAAATATCGTCTATTCAGATTTATTTTTTAAATGTTTCTGTTTTCTTTAACAAGTCTTAAGCTGTACTGTCTCAACCGTTTGCTTCTAAGAAAGTACAAGTATGGATTAAGGCTGGCGTTTGAAAGATAAAGAGATACTGTTGCCTGGTAAAGGAGACTGCGCGTGGTAATATATGTTCCATTCAGTTCTAGTTTTTAAATGTTTCTGAATTTCTTTATAAGTCTTAAGCTGTACTGTCTCAACCGTTTGCTTCTCAGAAAGTACAAGTATGGATTAAGGCTGGCGTTTGAAAGATAAAGAGATACTGTTGCCTGGTATACGAGACTGCGCGTGGAAATATCTTCCAGAAGGTTTGAAGTCCGTGAMAAGATTTCTACGCAGATGTGAGGCACGTAGCAAAATAACAAGGCCACAGTAATGTAGGCTGCCGTCGCCAAGCCACGTCTCTCTGTCTTGCAAAATGCATTGGGATTGACAATTTTCTTCTGATTGACAATTTTAGAAGACTGTGAACTGGAAATACACAAAAGTTTCAAGTGAACGAATGTCATAATGAGCGTTATGACAATAAGAAGCAGAAACCACAAAAGGATAATGACAGATCTTTGGGAAATCCAAAACGTTCGGCACAGGCTCAAAGTAACGCTGAATATCCAACAAAAGGATATGAGAAATGTCACTCTCTTCTCGTTAACGAGTGCGGTATATCTAAGACTGTAAGAGACAGCGACAAATCTGTCCACAGTGACTAAGAATAGACTCCCAAACGAAACACTAACAGCTACCATCCCAAGAAGATCTAAAACAAAACGGAAGCGCGATGTGCAAGTCCTAGAGTCTCCTGCAAAGGCTAAAAATATAGAAACGGCAAACCAAGTTTGATTCAAAATCGCCGTAATAAGATTTGCTGAAGCCAGATTGACCAAAAACCAGTTAGCTGTCACACGTAGCTCCGTAAAATACAGAACTGTGGCGATAACAACGGAGTTGCCCATGACAGATAGCACAAGCAGAAAACAGCGAAGGACAGCAGAGGCCAGGGCGAAGTTAGCGTAATGCTGGACGAGTTCTTTGTCAAGATTTAGTTGACCTTCTTTGCCAGATCCGTAGTCCATCTCATATTGAGCATAAACGTGGCAAGCTTCATTGGCTAATGAAGAATTCATGGTCTTTACTACTATGGTTGTTTTTTAAAGAAACTTCTTTTTCGCTAGGTGAGACCAAATGTGAATGGCATTGGCTGTCGTTGTGCTTTTAGTATCTTTTTGCCAGGTGACGCCAGATGTGATTACAACACTGTTTGAAATCTGATTGGTTGGGAGCGCGTGCATTATTATAGAACACAGCACGCACGCGCACGTTCCTTTCTAAAATAATGATAAAATTTCTTGCTGTGTTGTGTGAGTTATAAAGCAATTATGGATTGGCAGAACACTCGAGAAATGCAAGAATAACTTTGCTACGCGTTTTGCTTTTCCGGCTGTTTCGCAAGGGACTTGCAAGACATGAAGATAATGAAACAAAGGATAATGAATTTGGACCTAAACAAACCTTGTAAAACAAAAACCTTAACCCAGAATACAACAAAGCTTGCTATGGTAAGAAAGACCCGCTTTTCCTAACCCTTCTCTCATGACGTTCTTTCAACACCTGCTAGTGGCTTTGTTTTTTGACCATATTGGCTTTAAAATGGCGATAGGAAGTTTCTATCCATACCATATCGGTACTTTCAATAATACAAGAAAAGTCTTGTCCTTGTGCTGTCTTTTCAGGTGTTTCCCAGCGCGTGTTTAACACTTCTGTCCGAGGTGAGTTGTCATGTTGTCTAAGAAAGCTATAAAAAATTGACCCAAATTGACAGGTATAATAACTTTATCAATCTTATTAGAGCAGAAGGAGCAGGACTCAGGACTCCGGGACATAATAACAGGATGAACACGAAAAAATAAAGCAAGAATTAGCTATATTATAAATATACCCCAAAACCCGAATTTTTATTCAAAAACATTTTAAACTGGAGAAATGAATAATTTCTCTTTTTCATTATGCAAATTATACCATATTGACAGAAAGTTAACGGTAGTTAAAGCTCGTTAATATTTTTCATGTCTGGGTAATTCATTAGGTATTCATTTATTTGGAGACTACAAACTTAAGGAAATCTTTCCCTGAGTCTTTCAACACATGGATTACTTTAGTGATGCTACCAGTGATGATTGTCAAAGGCTTCTGGATGTGATTTTTACGATCAGTCATGTTAAGGGGGAGTGTTAAAAAAGCGAAAAAAGAGAAAAAGCTTCGAGCAATGGATAACTATTGATAGACAAGATTAAGACAATATCTATTTTTCCTACTGTGAATCGAAAAATCATGGGTCGGTGTTGCGCAGGCGTCTCTTTGACTCCAGACTCGGTGTCGTATGTGAGTAGAGTTGTTCGTTGGCTCTATAAGGCTTCTTCAACAATCTTTAGTGCAACCAATCCAACAAAGAAAAAAAAAATCCTAAAAAACCTGAATACTGGCGCCTTAAGATGATCTGAAGCCACAGGAGTTTACGGAAGACCTTAATTAATCAGCCATGGAAATGATGCGTCAGGCTGTTTTGTGGCGTTTTTTGGAAATTTCTGGATGAATCTTCCCGGAAATATGGAAACTGACTCTTCAAAAGGATTTTAGCGCTATACAAACCTTTCTAGTTTGTTAGTCGGTTAAATGGGTTTATTTGGCAAAATGGTTCGGTTGCGCTCGAGTAAAAAAAAAAAGATGTAAAATGTGATGGTTAACATGCGCGCAGCATGATATTATGAAGCGCCAATGATTACGCAGTGCCATAACACGTTTTCCATTAACAAATTCAATTCAATTAATCATTTTTGTTAAATCGGCGAAGATGAGGATGTAGTTAGCGCCATTCAAAAATAAAACAATTCAACTAATTCCGCCTGAGATTCTAATTCCTACTCAATAATCAATGAATTCTTGATTCAAGAACTAGAAATCCATGTCTCGCTGCTATTCTAGTTGAGAAAAAAAGAAAGTAAAAAAAAAAAAAAAACGAAAACCTTGAAAAAACCACCACCAAGTGTAAGGAACAAAACTAAAGAAACTGCTTCACTACTAAAAAGCACCACAAAAAATAGTAAGAATAACAACAACATTGACAACACCTGTACATAAAAAGAAAAGAAATACGACAACAACAAACAAACAAGAAAGAAAAAAAGGAAACAAACAAAACAAAACAACAAACAAACAAAAAAGAAAAAAACGAAACAAACAAAACAAAACAACAAACAAACAAAAAAGAAAAAAACGAAACAAACAAAACAAAACAACAAACAAACAAAAAACAAACAAAAACAAAGGAAAAATGACCTCAGCTTCCTAAACACCGACGCAGCTCACACTAGTTTTTAACTACTTATCTCATCAGTTTCCTAAATAGTTTTCTTTTTGAGGAGAACTGAACATTCATGGATATCTAAAAACAAACAAAGGAAAAAAGACCTCTTTCCTAAACACCGACGCAGCTCACACTAGTTTTTAGCTAGTTATCTCATCAGTTTCCTAAAAAGTTTTCTTTTTGAGGAGAACTTAACACTCTCGGATATCTTAAGAGAGGTCATAGGGTGCCTATGCACTTCCTTTCTAGCTCATAGTTAAACTAAAAATTTCTCATTACTAAGAAGGTGCCTAGTTTTAATAATTTTTGAGCCCCCTATTGTGGGGCAATAATAAACCTAAAATACTTTGAGATCTTAAGAGAGAATTCTTTTCGTATTCAAGCAGTGGGCGCCGAAACCTATTTTATTGAAGAAAGGCTGTTGCACAAGGCTAAAATCTTGTTATTCAGAAAGGTTTAACTTGTTTGGAAGTGGAGATGACCGATGAAAGTGGAATCAAAGTGTTAACCCAAAGCAAAAATTGTATTCGAAAATGAGATTTAGGCCTTCATTTGACAAAGTAACATTCTAACGCAAATGCAACAAAACATCTTTGTACAATTGAAAATACCGCTTCAAACAGGCATTTTATCATAGTAAATCAGTTTCTAACTGTTTAAAAAAGGTTTTGAGTGTTAACCCAAAACGAAAATTGGGATCAAAACTCTTACGAAAGTCTAGTTTTTGGCGCTTTTTGCCATTATTGCTCATTATTGAAAAAAAATTTCCTCTTAATATACAATTTGCTTTTTAATGGAAGAACAGTAAATCTGATATTAGTACAATACCTTCTTGAAGGTCAGGTGACGGTAAAACTTGAGCAAAGATTCCTAAAATATGACCAAGATGTTGCATGACCTTCAAGAGAAAGAACCAATCAAAACCATTAGTACTAATAAACCAAATTTGTACTTCCGCTATATGCAGTCGTCCAATTTTTTTTAATCCCCCGTATGGTTATACAACTATTTCAAAAAACGTTGTCGGTTGGATATTTGAAATCAGATATCTGAGACCGATTGGAATTGTGGGGGTCTGAGTGTTTTCTCGTTCAAAATTCAATATACCCTTACTCAGATAGTTTGCCAGCGCAGGTCATCGCTCAAAGTCAGTATATCAAGATATTAACTTTTTGCGAACTACTAATTAAAGCCACAAACAATTTACAGCTTACAACCCACAATTCTTTTCGGTCTCAGATTTCCGATCTCCAACAGACCTCTTTACCTTGGGCGTAATGTTTTTCCATTTCAGACCATGTGTCATTCCCTAGAGTATCATTTCTTTGTTTGACGGTTATACATTAGAAGACATGGCAACAAAGAATCTTATTATCAAGGGAATGACACGTGGTCTGAAAGGGGCAAAACATTACGCCTAAGGGTAAAGAGGTCTGCTGACTTCACTCAGTCCTATTACCAATATTTATCATCATCATGGTCATCAGTATCATCACCATCATCAGCATCACAATCATCACCACCACCAACACCACCACAATCATCATCATCATCACCAGCACCAGAATCATCATCATCACCACCACCACAATCATCATCATCACCACCACCACCACAGACATCATCATCATCATCACCACCACCACAATCATCATCATCACCACCACCACAATCATCATCATCACCACCACCACCACAATCATCATCATCATCATCATCCCCACCACCACCCCCACCATCATCATTTTTTTCACAACCATAACATCTTTACCATGAACAATAATATCTGCTAATACAAGGAAAATCAAAATCAACACATTTATCATCATCATGGTCATCACCATCATCACGATCATTCTTGTCATCATCATCATCATTATCACCATCACCACAATCATCTTGTGTTACCTCACAATTCAAATTAGTTGCGTGCAAAGTTGCATGGAAATGTTGATTAGTAGAGAGTTTTAGATTTACGTTCACGGCAAACGTGAAACGTCAGTTGACCAGTAAAAAATTATTTTAAATTACTGAAAAAGAATCGCAAAAAAGTCCAAGTAGTAGAAAAACAAAAGAGTATTTGCGCTTGGTGAGAAGGTTTGGAAATAGTAAAGTAAAATACAGGAAAACTATGAAAACGTGGTCACGTTTGCTGTTGCGGGGAGAAAAAAAAGTCAATCTAAAACTCTCTAGTGTGTCCGCGTGTGCTGACCTGTGGATGTTGATCGCTAAACAGTTCAATAATACACGAATAGACGGTAGGATTCTCCTCAAAATCCTCCTTGAGCGGTAAACATTGGATAATCATTGGAAACACCTGTCGAAATAAATACCATGTAAATAGTTACTCACCGAAGGTCACATGCTAGAAAATAACTGATATTGAATGTTTTTTTTTACAATTGACAGATGAAGAAATAGAAAACGCGCGCGGGTGCTGTGTGCTGTCATAAAGCACGCGGGGGTTGGCAGAACACGAGAGAAGTGTTAGGAGAAGCACGACGCGTAGCGGAGTGCTTCTGAACACTTCTCGAGTGTTCTGCCATTCCCCAAGTGCTTTATGACTGCACACATCACAGCAAGCAAGTTTTTTATTTCTTTTATAAAATACAAATTACAATAATAGGGAATGACGCAACGGAAAGTGCGCGCGCGTGCAATGTACTCTCATAAAGCACGCGCTCCAAACCAATCAGAACGCGACATTCATAACGGTTATTTCATAATGCATAATGGTAGATCCGGGAGGTTGTGAGCAATTTGCGGGGATTTTTTTTTATTTGTCCTAGCAACATCATTAAAAAAAAACTTGTTGCAGGCTCAATTGCAATATTGGCTTTGCACCATCACGTGATGGCAGCCTTAACAGGAGGCAGGGACAATTGAATCTGGTCTAATCTAATTTACATGAGAAAGAATTGAGTTTCCCAAGGTAGAACGAATCTATTGTTATACCTCCTGTCATGGCTGCCATCACGTGATGATACAAAGCCTCTATAGAGCAAATGTTATACATGTGCGGTACTCAAATCTCCATAATGCATCGTAATTTCTGATAAACGTTGTCTATTTTAGAGGTGCGCGCGAGACACATTTATTGCTGATGGTTTGTAATCATTTCCAAGATAATAAAGTAACAGAGACATGGTCATGTTGGTAGTATTGAATAAATGGATGCTAAGATCAGATATCTTATATGTTATACAGTTACCACCAACATGGCCGCGTTGACGTAACGGACAAACGAAATATATAAATGGGGCGAAGGTCGAGGAAAAAATTGGGTCGAGTTGTTGTTGTGGGACATTATGGGACTGTTTTAGGGGGCATAATAGACGCCATCTGGAATAATGTCCCCTAAGGCAGCCCAACAATGCACTGTAATGCCAAATCGATTCAGCTTCCCCCTCAGTCTCGTAATGGCCAATACTGTACTTGTGTCCAGATAATTAAGCTAATCACCTTGTCAAGGGGTACCGCTGACCGTTTCGCCATAATCATCCGGCTCACAGCACCACAAACATTATCTACAACACGACCAGGCTGTTCTGACGAGGACATTGAGAAAAAGGCTTCCAACAACACCTGGTAATATCTGCAAGAATTGTCAAGGAAATAAAACTATATATATGATAGCACATGTTACGGTTGATGGTGTTCTACATGCAATCTTAAGTTCAATTCCTGTACTCGGCATCACATGTGAGTAGAGTTTGTTGGTTCTCTCTCTTGATTTTAAAGTTTTTCTCTGCTTATCCGGTTTTCCTTACGCTAAATTCAAATTTGATTTGCGAGTTAGTCGTGCTCTGAATTAGATCAGCCCAGAGGTTGTTTTAGGGTTC